AAGAATTGAATCATTGTCTAAGCTGCCCTGGGCACCCTTCCACAAAGCGATCTTAGGGCTACGACTATCGTAAGCCAGGGTTAAAGTATGGGAGTTAAGATCACCGGAGCGCTAAGATGGCTTTGTGGATTAGGGCCTTGGTCTAGATGACATTAAGTATTGTCCTACCTTGACTAAGCTGCCCTGGCCTGGATGATACAAAGTATTGTCCTACCTTGACTAAGCTGCCCTGGCCTGGATGACACCAAGTATTGTCCTAACTTAACTAAGCTGCCCTGGCCCGGATGACACCAAGTATTGCCCTACCTTGACTAAGCTGCCCTGGCCCGGATGAGACTAAGTATTGCCCTACCTTGACTAAGCTGCCCTGGCCTGGATGACACCAAGTATTGTCCTACCTTGACTAAGCTGCCCTGGCCTGGATGACATTAAGTATTGTCCTACCTTGACTAAGCTGCCCTGGCCTGGATGACATTAAGTATTGTCCTACCTTGACTAAGCTGCCCTGGCCTGGATGAGACAAAGTATTGTCCTACCTTGACTTAGCTGCCCTGGCCTGGATGAGACAAAGTATTGTCCTACCTTGACTAAGCTGCCCTGGCCTGGATGACACCAAGTATTGTCCTACCTTGACTAAGCTGCCCTGGCCTGGATGACACCAAGTATTGTCCTACCTTGACTAAGCTGCCCTGGCCTGGATGACATTAAGTATTGTCCTACCTTGACTAAGCTGCCCTGGCCTGGATGACACAAAGTATTGTCCTACCTTGACTAAGCTGCCCTGGCCTGGATGAGACAAAGTATTGTCCTACCTTGACTTAGCTGCCCTGGCCTGGATGAGACAAAGTATTGTCCTACCTTGACTAAGCTGCCCTGGCCTGGATGACACCAAGTATTGTCCTACCTTGACTAAGCTGCCCTGGCCTGGATGAGACTGAGGCATCTGTATATGTTCCCTGAGCCAACACACCGTGTCTCATCTCCAGCTCTGTTGGGTAAGGTCGCCGTGGATCTCCTGGAAACATGATCAAGCAAAAGTCACTTCATGAGGAACTGAGAACATATTCAGATTGCTATATCCCATCCATATCACTGTGGTCTGTACATAAGTCTGGGACGAGCACACCAGCAGTGGACAGCAACAGTGATCCTTGCCTTCGGGACATGGTGCGATACGACAAACTATGAACTACACCCATCCAGTCTTCATCAGCTCTCACTCACCAGGTTGTTTCAGTTTGAAAATCATTAGGATCTGTTTGTTTGTGTGTTGTTTAATGCTGCACTCAGCTATATTCCGGCTAAATGAGAGTGGTCTATAAATAATTGAGTCTGGACCTGATAATCCGATGATTGACATCATGAGCATCGATGTACGCAATTGGGGTATGATGACAAGCATCAACCAAGTCAGCGAGCCTGACCACCTGATCCTGTCACTTGCCTGTTATGATACATGTAGGTTGTTGAAGGCCAATTCTAACCCAGATCTTCACAGAGCAAAAGTCGTAATCAAGACAACACAGTCACCAGTGCCCTACTGGACAAAGTAAATTATGTGTGAAAAACTGGTCATTACATGTAGATATCAACATTGTACTGAGCTGTAATGAACTAAAAACAAAAAAATTATTGAATTGCCAACACAACTTAGCTGCAACACACAACAGCGGACCTGTGAAGATCCAAGGTAGAATAGGTCTTCAGCAACCCATTCTTGTCGTAAAAGGCGACTTTGCTTGTCGTAAGAGGCGACTAACAGGATCCGGTGTCAGGCTCGCTGACTTGGTTGGTTCATGTCATCGTATCCCAATTGCGTGGATCGATGTTCACGATGTCAATCACTGGATTTTCTTATCCAGGCTGGATATACAGACCGCCATCATATAGCTGGAATATTGCTGAGTGCGGTGTTAAACAAAAAACAAACAAACAATAGCGTATAACATGCAGAATACATGCACATTGTGCTCCCCAACTGCACCATGCACTCACCCGGCTGCCACGTGACTGGTGCTGCTACTGCATTACTGGCGCTGATTCTGTGGGCAAACTTGATGAGTTCTTCTGAGGATACTGCCTTCTTGCTGGCCTGGGATATTGTGTTCAGCTTCTGCTTGGCCTGGTACATTGCTGTTTCCTGAAGTGAGTTTAATACAATACTCCAAGAATCAAGATTTCATGAAGAATTGGCTTCACACACTTACCCATGTGGTGAATGAAACTTAGGTTCTTAGTCTGACAACTTAACTCGTTTCAACTGACAACCACAAGGCTACCATCCATCTCAAATAAAATGGAAGACTAGATCATCTGGAAAGCATTATCAAAGTTTGTAAACAATTCTTAGCTGACCTCACAAACATGAGTAGCCAGAAAGATGAGTCACGAGACTCCAACTATGGATTTGTGGCTACAGTTGCAGATTCTAAGCTCAGCAGTGAGTGAATTGGACAAACATCGCTTTGAACAGTATTCCAGTATCTCGACAGAGCTTGATGTTGGAACGTAAGGTGACGTAACAAGTCGTGGTCATTTATCACTTTCAGAAGAACACTAGCAGCATTTCCCTTGAGGTTTGCTCCTGTAGGTATTGAAGGACTTTAATTTACTTTAGGGCTATGAGAGGTGAGGTGAGGTGAGGTGAAATGGGGTTTAACGTCGCGTCCAAGATTATTGCACTTATATAGTGACGTGCATGTACGTGTGTGTTTGTGTGGCTGCTTGTACTAGTCCGGACTGATGCCGATTTATAGTGCTAGCTCACTGAGATACCATGCCGCAGTTTAACATGAATACTCAACTCAGACACAGTATACTGACTCCGAGCTGACCAGTCCTCGTTTTAGCCCCTCAATGCCGAGCGCCAGACAGGGTAACAACAAGTACCATCTTTTAACGTCTTTTGGTATGACGCGGTCAGGGATCAGCCCCGGACCTTCCGCTCTCCGGGCGGACGCTCTACCACTAGACCATGGAGGCAGTCAGGGCTATGAGAAGGACCCTTCAACTTAAATGGTTATTTGTAAACACTGCACCAGAATGGGCAGAAAAAGGCTGTGTCCTGAACCATTGAAAAGAGACAATGTAGACATCATCAACATAACAAACCAACCAGAATTGTTTCTGCCTCCTTGAGATTCCTCTGTAAATTCTTGATATCTTGGTCCCGACTGTCAACCTCGGACTTCAGCCCATCTAATATTTTTTGAATACCTGCTTGTTCTTCCGCTGAAAATTAAGTCATTGTGAGTATTCTGAAGAAAGAGCAACAAACTGCCAAAGAATCAGAACTTGAACTTCTATTAGCTAAGTTTAAATACGAAAACAATTTCAATAGACTTTGAGTCAAATACTGGATCAATATCAGTGTTCAAACTTATGGTGGGTTCTGAGATCTGCTGCCATGGTATTTGAGTCAAGGAACCCCTTAAATCTTCACATGTTAACATTAGGGTAATGACATGGTTCCTTTTACTTTAATGTTTGATATGGAACAATGAATGCTGACAATGCTCAAATTAGTTAAAAAGTAGAAAGTAGTAGTTGGAATCAAGTCATACAAATGCCACTTTTACCTCCTAACACCTGACTGACGAGCAAAGTCCTTCCTTCAAAACCATAAACAGGCCTAGTCCTATTCCCTACACAGCAGTGGGCATCACGTTGATTTTACATCGATCCGAATAACCCAGTTAATGCCTGCAACTCTTACCTAACTGTAGTGTCTTCTTGACATCTTTGTCTTTTTCCATCAACAGCTCCATCAGTGATACTGTGTCGGGGGCATCAGACCTCTGCTGACCTTTAGGTGTGCTCATCAAATCAAACAACTCTCTGAATTTGGAAAGAATTTACACCATGAAGTAAGTGAGTGAGTGAGTGAGTTGGGCTTAATGCCGCTTTTAACAGTATTCCAGTTATATTGCGGCGTGTCAGCTTAATGTGGGAGGAAAGCCCGAAGTGATGCAGGTCTCAGATGTTTACCACTTCGGTGAAACTCACAAGCACGGGTATGGTGCTGACAAACCTAGAAACATAATCGGGGCCAACCGGGATTCGAACCCACAATCAAAGGTTTCTGGCATGCCCAAGGGATGCAACGCTGCACAGTGAATCGCCGCGCCTTAGACGACTGGGCCACCCGTGTCCCCCCATGAAGTGACATTTTCCAAAAAACCCATATAACTCCGATAACATTGTTGTCTTTGTTTCATTAAAAAACAAACCCCCATGACACTACAGAAGGACCTTCACTATAATTATTCAGCTTGAATATGTTTATTATTGTTTATCTGTTTTCTCAATGATTTCAAAGTATTATAATTTTATGAGAAAAAAAAAATTCTCAAAAACTCAGCTGGAAACAAACAAAGAAATGTCAAATATAAATAATGAAATTGTGTAGCTGATACAAAAAAAAATCATCTCTTCAAATATGTGCGTGTATAAACAACCAAAAGTAAAACCTGAATGTATCAAGAGAGTGATGATTTTTCACTCCGTCAGTGTATATAGGCTGTTGTGCCGTGTTGAGAAAAAAAATAAAAAAATGAAATAACGAATAATAATAATTCACTGTCAACATTGTTAAAATATTTCAATACAAACAAAATCTGTAGTGCAGATAGAAGTGGGGACCACTGTCAAACAATGAAACTGAAAGACTGAATGCTGAAGAGGCTAAATATTGCCGATAGAAAACGTTTCCGTGGGACAATGAAATGTGGAAATGACTGAAGGGTGCGTGGGTACTAATTAAATTGATTAAAAAATTGATTATCATACTTAGATATTATTTCAATATCTTCTATCAGTGAGAGCAACTTCAATCGGGTACTTGCTGCCGCCATGATTGTTAGGTTTATGATACAGCCAATACATAAACGCGTGACAATGTATTGTTGGATTGATTAGCCAATGATATAGCCTGTTTCACCCAAAGGCTTTAAACCAATCAAAATAGGTCTTAAAGATAAAGGAAATGAAACACTGACCAATGGAAAACATTTTAAGAAACCATAATAAAAGTCACGGCAGAACACGACTTTTTACAAATTTACGAAGAAAATGAATAACAAATTTGATGCGTAAGCTTGTTTTGTGTTCATTCGCCATTTACCAGCATCGTAGTCAGTCGTTCGTTACCGCTGGAACGAACATGATGAGTCCAGGATATGTGTACATTCATTTTCATCAACACACACTATCTCAATCCGTATCTGGATGCAATTTACCCACACCTTTTTGGATTGAACATATGATTACAGAATAATGATATTCTTCGTGTTTAAACATAACTTTTCTTTTACTATTCTTTGATAGAATCAGGCCTGACTAGACATAAGTGTGAAATTGGTTAATAAAGCATAAATGTTCTGGTGAAAACGGACACCAAAAAGCCATGTGGTCTGGTTAAGTTCATTTGTTTTTGTAAACATTTTAGTTCTAAATAAACGATTGTTAAGGATGATAGTTTGTATCGTGTAAATATGTTTGTTTATATAAACGTATTTGTTTTCCAGACTAAAAGTTGCAGATGACAGTGGAGAGGAAGATAACTTAGATGCACCACCACGACCACCCCCGGTACATACATCAGGTTTCCCTGTGCCTCATTAGTCTCAAATTTTAATCAGAATGACATTTGAACTGAAATCTTGAAAACTTTGTATTCCAGTTAAACTTTTCTTCAGAAATTCTTTATGAAATGTGAGGATCCACAACACCATCAGGAACTGTTTGTGATAATAATTAACCAGTTACAATTTGATTCACCCAAACCTCTGAGACCAGCATCACTTTGACGGGGTACCAGGATTGTTTCTAAGGAAATAATCAAGCTATGTTTTACTGAAATTTATTTTACATATGCCTTGCATAGTAGTGGAGAAAAATAATGTTCACTTTTCACTTTTTTGCAGAGTTTTTAGTGTCCAGTAAAGAATACAGTTTATTATTTCTATCTTTGAAAAACAAATTGGGCACCTGTTTTATGTGGGGAAAAGAATAACTAACGATCATAAACATAATTATTTCTAATTCAATGGTTTCAAACGATAATCCCTTCCTCATTTATTGGTGTTTTTATATGAAATGTATATGTCAGCACTTGCAGCACTTCAGTATGTTTCCAATATAAGTGTATGAATTGATGCTCAGCTCATGCATTCTTACCCTGAAGGGGTTCTGGCTTAGAATTGGTCTTCTGCAACTTTTGCTGTCATGAAAGGCGACCAAATTGATCAGTTGATCAGCATGTTAGGCCGCAGTCCTGCAGCTGTAATATTGCCGAGTGCACTGATACAACAAAACAAATCCCATAAGATGTGGTCCTCCAGTTTTGTTTTGGGTGAAAGTAGATCTGTTGACAGAAGTCGTTTGTGATTCCAGAAACCTGGTCCTGGTGAACACCCCCTGCAGTACAACTACTCCTACTGGTTTTCTCGGAGAACGCCGGGCAAACAGACAACAAGCTATGATCAGAATCTCAAATTGGTAGCATCATTTGCATCTGTAAGTAGTAGTTACCAGACACTGTGGGCATTCTGGGTAACAATAGTAGTCCACACAAGGATTTATCTCGACCTGCTTAGAGGCTGATATTTGCCCCAAGTCGGCAGCAAATGTTAATAAAAATTCTCAATTTGGAACTTAACATTTCACAATTGTATATTATTGCATTATACCTCTGAATTATGAAAAATATTAGTATTTTCCAAAGATGCCTGCCACGGGAGGTTAGTTAAGAATCTTAAATACGTCCCTGCCAAGGAAAAAAATATGCTGGTTAGGAGAGGCAAGTTTATGAAGGGGATGGCCAGACTTAGTGCTTTGGCTGTTACCAGTCATCTTGCCCCGATGATGGCAACCTGGTCCAGACTGGACTATTTAATGACTGCTGTTATATAGCTGAGGTATTGCAGAATCAGGTGTTTAATAACAAACAGTTCACTGAAACACTGCATCTCTAAATGTTACATGCTGTACTCATCCACTGATCCTGGTGACCCTGTAATTATGATGAATAAGTACGATGGTCGGCTGGTCACCTGACTGATATGTCATTGTGCCCTGATGGCTTGAATCAAGCTTCATGCTGTCAACCTTTGGTTTGCATGACCCAGATTTACTTATATGTAGGCCCCCATGATGTAATTTGAACATTACTGACACGAGGTGACAAATATAAAGACTAAGTACTGTTATGTTGTAATAAAAGTCAGGTTACTAATTTGTGCATCATGGAAAAGTGGTGCTTTTTTGTGCTTCATGTACACTCAAGTGGCTGATATTAAGTTACCCGTGAAGATCAGGGGTAGAATAGGTCTTCAGCAACCCATGCTTGACGTAAAAGGCACCTAGGCTTGTCATAAGAGGCGACTATCGGGATCAAGTGATCAGGCTCGCTGACTTGGTTGATGCATGTCATCGTATCCCAATTGCGTGGATCGATGTTCATGATGTCAATCACTGGATTGTCTGGTCTAGACTCAAGTATTTACAGACCGCCGTCATAAAGCGGGAATATTGATGAGTGTAGTGTAAACAAACAAACAAACAAATGATATTTAGTATAATGGTAATTATGGGTGACTATTGTAGCTATTTTCACTATTGCAATTGTATGGCAGTAGTACCCACACTTAAGGGCTTGATGAGTATGGTAGTGTGACAGAAGTGAATGAAGTATTGCTGACCATGCCAAAATCCACCATTTTCCTCCCTGTTGCTCAAACCAAAGGGAAGTAACTCTCATTTGAAATTGTCATAATCCTTGCTAATAAACACAAGGCATATTTCTGATGCTCATTTCATATCTTATTTATGGCTTATTGTATCTATTGCATTCACCAGGGGGCATGGGTGGCCCAGTGATCTAAGGCGCCGCAGTTCACTGTGCAGAGTTGCGTTCCTTGGGCACGCCAGAAACCTATGATTGTGGGTTCGAATCCCGGTTCGCCCTGATTATGTTTCTAGATTTGTTAGCACCATGCCCATGCTCGTGGGTTTCACCAAAGTGGTAAATGTCTGAGACCTGCATCACTTCGGGGTTTCCTCCCACTTTAAGCTGGACATAACTGGACCTAACTCGCTCACTATTGCGTTCACCATATTATCGACAATACTAATGGTATTTTAAATTTCTATTGATATAGTACAATCGTAGGGGAAACATTTGCAAAAAATTAATAGTGTGATATATAGTCAACTCCTAGACTGCCTCAGTGGTCTAGTGGAAGAGCATCAACCCGGAGAGTGGAAGATAGGGGGTTTGATCCCCGGCCACGTCATACCAAAAGACGTTAAAAGATGGTACTTGTTGTTACCCTGTCTAGCTCTGGGAATTAAGGGGTAAAACAAGGACTGGTCGTCTCAGTCACTATACTGTATCTGAGTGGGGTATTCATGTTAAACTGTGGCATGGTATCTCAGGACTAGCGTGCACACATGCTCATCGCTATAAAAGTGCAATAATCTTAGACGCGATGTTAAACCCCATTTCACCTCACCTAGTCAACTCTAAATGGTAACGTTAATATATTCTTGCACAGAGATTGTATGCTGATGGCTAGGGGTCAGGTTTGCTACTACTTTAGAAGCCCTGTTCTGGTGTCCCTAACTGTGCTGGAAGATTGGTAAAAACTGAAGACTGTGTGTTAGGGGTGTCACGATAAGTCGAAATATCGACACATTGCTATTGGTAAGCACCTAAAGTCAATCTATCGATTGTTTAATCAGTTTCCGATCAATAGTATCGATTTCAGTTAGGAATATCGATAGTTTCGATTGTATTTACCATATCAATAAAATACATGCAATCCTGTACAAATTGTTTTTTCTTTTGATCATGGGTGGTAGTAATTTACACGTGGTAATGTGGAAGTTTCTTTTTCTTAAATTAGAATAAAGAAAAACCAAATCAGTCATATCTCAAACTTTACTTTTTATTTGTTGTTATGAAAAGGAAACTTCTGTTCCAAGGTTTACTTCAACTATAAAATCCATCTACAATGATACACTGAAACTATCGATATTTATCGCAATAGTTGCTTGCAATATCAATAGTCATCGCAATAGTTTCTTTCAATATCAATAGTTATCGCAATAGTGATTTCCAGACCAATAGTCACCCCTACTGTGTGTGTCCCTCCCCATGTTACAGGTGGAGCAGTTCTGGATGTACTACAGCCACCTAGTCCGGCCGGGAGATCTGTCGGGGCACAGCGACTACCATCTGTTTAAAGACGGAATCAGACCCATGTGGGAGGTGAATATATTCACGAAAGCGTTCCCCCAATGGGATTAAAGATCAGGGCCTTGTTCAACAAAGCAATGTTTCCGCTGAGATGATCGTAACTTCTATCCTTTAACAGACTAAAGACAATTGTAGCGCGATGATTGCGTTGTGGAACAGGTCCCGGATCTGCTGCTCTGTATGTTATGCTTGTTGCTATTGGCAACAGTCATCAATTCTTTATTTTACTCGATAAATCAAGTTTGATGTATCTGGATATTATTGAATTTAGTTTCTATATTTGTGGAAGTTGCACTGCAAAGACGATGGTTGTAAGTAAATATTTGCTTGCATGTGATGGTGATATACAGATAAACAAGTTTGTTTTGCATATAAAAAATGCTTTGTGATGTTGATGTTGGGGCAGTGGAGGGAGTTCTGTGTGTTTTAATCTGTTCGAGTTCAACAACCCAGTTAAATAAACTCAGCAACTTGTCGTAAGGGGCGACTAACGGGATTGGGTGGTCAGGCTCGCTAACTGGTTGATGCATGTCATCGTATCCCAATTGTGTAGATTGATGCCAGTGATGTCAATAACTGGATTGTCTGGCCCAGACTCGATTATTTACAGACCGCCGTCATATAGCTGGAATATTGCCAAGTGTGGCGTTAAACAACAAACAAACAAACAAACAAGCAGCTTGTGCTTGTCGTATGAGGCAGTGGAACGGTGGACACGTCCAGTGACCTGGTTGATTGCTAATTAATGGGGTTTATTTTATTCCTGTTAACAGTACTGGTGTTAGGGGTAAAAGGTTCTCAGTATTGATACTTCAGGACAGCGCCAACAAGTCTGGAGGCAAGTGGATCATCCGTCTAAAGAAGGGCCTGGCGTCTCGGTGCTGGGAGAACCTGGTGCTGGCCATGCTGGGGGAACAGTTCATGGTGGGGGAGGAGATCTGTGGCGCCGTCGTCTCAATCAGATACCAGGTAAACATCAGGGGTAGAATTGGTCTTCAGCAACCCATCTATTGGGGGGGGGGGGGTATGCTTGTTGTCGTTAGAGATGACCAACAGGATTAGGTGGTCAGGCTCACTGACTTGGTTGATGCATATCATCATATGCCAATTCGTAGATCGATGCTCATGATGTCAATCACTGGATTGTCTGGTCCAGACTTGATTATTTACAGGCAGCCATCATATTGCTGAGTGCAGCGTTAAACAACAAACAGGGTAGCAGGCAACAGTACCTAAACTAGGCTGTATTAGGTCACGACACCATGTTTTTATTTCTAAGGTCATGTAATAATACAAGAAAGTCATGAAATACAGCCAAAGAGATAGCATGTAGTTTTTCAGATTTTGTATTGTCTTTTTGTACCTTGGATTGGCTAGACAGGAAGAAATTGTACTAGACTCAGGATTCAGACATGTGGCTTTTGAGACCAAGTGTGTGGTTGCAGTCTGACCTTTCATGATACTTTGAGGATCCTACATAATTGAGGCTGCTTTGATTTTACATTAAATAGCTGCAAAGTTGCTGATGCAATTTGTGTAAAACAATTAAATTCCAAATGCATGTTGGTATATTGTCAGGAGGATATCCTGGCGCTATGGAACCGAACAGCCTATGACCAAGTGACTACCTCTAGAATCCGGGACACACTAAAGCGGGTCCTCAATCTTCCTCCCAACACAATCATGGAGTACAAGACACACACCGACAGCATCAAGTAAGAAACAGTTGGCAGTTTTGTTAAGAATAACACGCTACCCATGAAGATCCAGGTTAGAATAGGTCCTCAGCAACACATGCTTGACGTAAAAGACTAATATGATTGTCGTAAGAGGCAACTAACGGGAAGTCAGGCTCGATGACTTGGTTGATGCATGTCATTGTATCATGATATCAATCTCTGGATTGTCTCGTCCAGATTCGATTATATACAGACTGCTGGAATATTGCTGAGTGTAGCTTTACAAACAAGAACAACACACAGTTATGACTCCTTTGACAAATTGACCACCTCCGTGGTTTAGTGGTAGAGCGTCCGCCCGGAGAGCGGAAGGTCCGGGGTTGTCTCAGTGAGCTAGCACTATAAATTCAGCATCAGTCCAAACTAGTACAAGCAGCCACACACACACGTGCATGCACGTCGCTATATAAGTGCAATAATCTTGGACCCAATGTTAAGCCCAATTTCACCTCACCTTTGACAAATTAGGGGGGGGGGGGGGGGGAATTTTCAAATGAAAATAGCTGTTGACATGAATGTTGTTTCAGTCTGGTGATTTTAAACTGTTTTCGTTACTGTTACTTTAAAATAGACTACTGAATGGTAACCCAATAAAGTATATTAAGCTCGGAAAGTAAATAACAGTATTCATAACATGATTCTCTTGTTTCAGAGACAACTCAAGTTTCCGCAACACTGATGTGTTCATGAGGTGAGATTTCCATGCTTAATGAGGTCATCTCAAACTGACCATACTTCATTTCAATGAGCCTGTGGGTCTGCATGGATAGCCAGTGATATTGACTGGATGTTGGGAATGCCATCAACACCGACAATGATTGCTATGTATGACTTTCCTGGGTAGGAACGTTTGATATGGAATTTCAGGGTACATATCTGAATTTGTTTATACAGAGTTCCTTCTTGGGATTCAGGGAGAACATTGGTTCTCAGGACAGCATGCTTGTCAGTGTGGGACCCATGGGAATTCCGAGGCAGAATAGGTCCAACATATTCTTTCAGGGAGATCCCCAGTGCTCTTTGTTGGTCAGGGAGATCCCCAGTGTTGCTTGTTGGTCAGGGAGATCCCCAGTGCTGCTTGTTGGTCAGGGAGATCCCCGGTGCTGCTTGCTGGTCAGGGAGATCCCAAGTGATGCTTGCTGGTCAGGGAGATCCCCAGTGCTGCTTGTTGGTCAGGGAGATCCCCAGCACTGCTTGCTGGTCAGGGAGATCCCCAGTGCTGCTTGTTGGTCAGGGAGATCCCCAGTGCTGCTTGCTGGTCATAAAGATCTCCAGTGCTGCTTGCTGGTCAGGGAGATCCCCAGTGCTGCTTGCTGGTCAGGGAGATCCCCAGTGCTGCTTGCTGGTCATGAAAATCCCCAGTGCTGCTTGTTGGTCAGGGAGATCCCAAGTGCTGCTTGTTGGTCAGGGAGATCCCCAGTGCTGCTTGTTGGTCAGGGAGATCCCCGGTGCTGCTTGTTGGTCAGAGAGATCCCCGGTGCTGCTTGTTGGTCAGGGAGATCCCCGGTGCTGCTTGCTGGTCAGGGAGATCCCCAGTGCTGCTTGCTGGTCATAAAGATCCCCAGTGCTGCTTGCTGGTCAGGGAGATCCCCAGTGCTGCTTGCTGGTCATAAAGATCCCCAGTGCTGCTTGCTGGTCAGGGAGATCCCCAGCGCTGCTTGTGGGTCAGGGAGATCCCCAGTGCTGCTTGTGGGTCAGGGAGATCCCCAGCGCTGCTTGTAGGTCAGGGAGATCCCCAGTGCTGCTTGCTGGTCATAAAGATCCCCAGCGCTGCTTGTTTGTCAGAGTTCAAGTATAAGTTTTAAGTAAAAGTATGATCACTTTTGTTACGTTCAATGTAAGTTTTGGATACAATCAAACTCTTACCTATACACTTGTTTCAGGTTTTAACAAGGACAAGAAGCAGAGGAATACGTGAAACCGTGGTGGAAGTCCTGATTAGAGAGAATTCTAGTCGTTTCTAAATCAGATACATATATTCATTGTTGCAGAAAAATCTAAGAATCTGTATCTGGTGTCTTAATATTTCTCAACAATGCTCGACCATGTTATTGTGTTCGCAAATATTTTTTTGTAATATAACTTGTATTGTAAAAGGCCATAATGTACAAACAGTACACGTGTAAAGAGGCATTCTACTTTGAAATTAATGTGCCATGTGCTGATATGATTTCATGTATACATTGGAATACATGTAGCAGATGACAAGTCATGAAAATGCATAACAAATTGGTGGTTTTAGCTATTGATTGCAGATGTGTTGAATTCAGTTATTATCTATCAAATTGTTAAAATATGCTTTGCTGTGAAAATGTTTGGCAACAACACAGTTCACCGGGCGCAGCTTATGGAGATGGTGATAATTGGCTCAGGCTGTCGTTCTTGCTTCACAGATCTGCCGTGCCTCCTCCATCCTTAGGGTTGGTTACCCCCAACTCTATCCTTAGCTTTTGAGGGGCACAGGTGGCCTAGTCGTCTAAGGCGCCATGATTCGCTGTGCAGAGTAGCGTCCCTTGGGCATGCAAGAAACCTATGATTGTGGGTTCGAATCCCGGTTCGCCCCGATTATGTTTCTAGGTTTGTCAGCATCATACCCGTGCCCGTGGGTTTCACAGAAGTGGTAAACTTCTGAGACCTGCATCACTTCCTCCCACATTAAGCTGACACGCCATGATATAGCTGGAATACTGTTAAAAGCGGCGCTAAACCCAACTAACTTACTCACTTAGCTCTTGAATCCCTATTCTGATCAAGAATCCCTTTGTGATCCTAAGGAATTGTTGTAAGCTTGGGTATGGTTAGCTATCTCTTTTAGTGAATTAATTTTATTTTTTACTTATCCTGAATTACCTCACGACAATAAAGAACAGCGCCTAGCGGTGGTCTTGGTTGAAGAGAAAATTTGTTTCGCTCTCAGATCCCATTTTTTATATGGATTATCGCCGCTGTCATGTGACCTTGATGGAATATCGCCTATGACATTACTGCGGTATCTCAGCTTGGCAAATTGCCTCACCTAAAGCCAGGCAGATTTCATCTGCACGCTTGTTTCGTCTTAAAAAGGCGTTAAGTGCGTAGGGCTGTTCAGCACAGGCTGCCAAGACTATTGCATTCCTCTACCTTAGGTTTATTCTAAGACAAATGGGGATCATTTGAAAACTATTGCAAGGCAACAAATCAAGATCCCACGAAATCGTCACCACAATTCTTAGCTGAATACCTTCTACACTTGCAAACCAAAAGACGTGGGGTAGAATAGGTCTTCAGCAACCCATGCTTGCCATAAAAGGCGAACTATGCTTGTCGTAAAAGGTGACTACCGGGATTGGGGGTCAGGCTTTACCACCGCTAGGTGCTGTTCTTTATTGTCGCAAGTTAAGCTGTAAATGCATTAAGAAGTAATGCAAATGTAAAAAGTTTTTAGATGGAACATATTTTCCTAAAATTTTAGTAACATTTTTATAACGTTTCGCTGAGAAAAAAACCCAGTGGGGTGGTGTTTCTTTGTAAATGAGCACTAAGTATTTGTGATCGCTCCAGAGGTCCTGTGTTGGCTAATTAGATAAGCTTATCTTCAAGGTGGCAACGTGAGTCGATCCTCCACATGGTGCTAATTGACATCTGAAAAAGTGTTCCAGGTAAAGAGCACACCTCCCATGTGTGTCACCCAAGGTGAAAAACATCATCTGTTATGGCCTCGATTTCGTACTGCTATTTCAAATGTCCTTTCAAGATGACTTTAAACCGTTCCCGTGCACTTGATGTGTAGTTAAAGCTATGTGGACCATGTCTTGAAAAACAACATCAGTCAAAAACGCTTTGGCACAAATATTGGTAAATTGTTCGATAGGCATTTCTTAGAAATTAGTGAATGACAATGAAGATATTGTCAAATGATATTTGTGTTGCCATGGGTACCAGCTGACGTATTTGTTGCATAATTCTAATATGTATGTGTGACATTTCTAAGAGATTTTATACAAGAAAATTTGTTTTGAGGATTAGAGATGTGAAAATGGCACGAGTGAATGTTACTATAGCCTTGGTTCAGGCTTCATCATTTTTCCTTAGATAAGAATTCATCCTGTCCTCAAACTGTACATGACCACATAAACAAAGGAGAGAGGGTGAATTCTTTTTTGTCAATATTGTTTATTTTTGAAAAAAATGTACAGTTGTAATTAAAAGTCTCAAGTCTATATTTGTGTCTGTTATTGTTTGAAAGGATAACCAGATACAGTATCTAAGGCATCACAAACCTTCTGCTGATTGTTAGAATGAATCAGTTCAAGATTATACTGAAAGTGGTGTTAGCTTTACCGAGATGCCGGTTGTTTCAGAAGCATTGGGACTTGTCACTATTTTTCAGCTTCAACATACCGGTATCTATTCTTGACAGAAATACATGAGTCGCTATCTTTATACTGGCATGGTCAGATGTGCAGGCCTGGAGAATTGGTCGAGTCATTATACCCATACAGAATGGCATGACTACTTTGCCAGCTTGAATAATACTGATGGAAGTGGAATACCTCAACCATAGGGGTGGTTAAGGGGTTTGCTTGTCATGCTGAAGACCCAGGTTCAATTCCCCACTGTCATCAGCCGTGATATTTCTGGAATATTGCTTTAAAGGTCAAGTAAAATCATGTCGAAACTTTGCAGATTTTGGGGGATACTTAATTACAAATGCTTGACCAAAATTATATTTAAAAATAAAAACGGCAATAGGGTAAAACAGACTGGTGAAATCATTCCCTAAATGAAAAATTATGTCACTGAGGGGATTCCCCTTATTGAAGTTAAAACAGTTTCCTGGTACTGTGGAACGATCTGACGCCAAGCCTGCCCTCTTCTGCCGCAGATTTTATAATACATTGTCTTTTTTCTGTCTGATCACCCATTTGATTACCGTGTCCACACATGCAACAACACTGAAGATGGCAGGCACTTATTGTATCATGGGCGTCTGGTGTTTTATTACGCAAACAGGATGTTGGCAATAAAATGCTAGTTACTGATTGGTGATTGTTTGTTTACAAAGTCAAAATGAAAGGTTTCACACATTCAACAATGTATGTGATGTTAATTTTGTAGGATTAACAGAAATTGCAGAAACAGTATCATTTTTATAACAGCTAAGAACCACAAGAGAAACACAAATGCAGCAAACATAACAGCCAATAAAAACTGTTGTAGGCCACACCCCCAAATAGGTTTGTTAGGGAAGACGATGACGGAGTGTGATTTCAGCACTTTTACTTGGACATTTAAATAAAGTATTTATTTTTATATCCGAATGTAATGAATTTTTCTTGGGAAATGTACACAGGAAAATTGATCTTCGCAACAAAATTGCAATCATTTTACTTGCCCTTTTAAAGAATCAGCATCAGACCACACACTTTATCTGGAAATTATTGAATGATCTTCAAAAAGCTGCATTTTATTCCACATGAAAAATGCTTTTCTGGCTTCATTTAATATGAGTCATAGGGCTATGACAATAGCATATATCAAAGTAACGCAAATTGACCTAATCTAGCCTATCCAACTGACACTGTGATTACCCTTAAAATGTACTTTTACAGGTAAAATGATGATTTAGACAATATTCGTGTGTTGTCATGCATGTATGAAACGGCCTATAACCCGAGGTAATTACCTAACACCTGTCCCAAGGTGATGACCTCACACCGGCCTGTGCATTCTCACAGGTGCAAATGTCACCCGTATTGGGGATGGTCTCATGTGCTCATATTTCTATAGGACCGCCTCCGTGGTCTAGTGGTAGAGCGTCTGCCTGGAGAGCGGAAGGTCCGGGGTTCGATCCTCAGCCGCGTCATACCAAAAGACGTTAAAAGATGGTACTTGTTGTTACCCTGTCTGGCGCTCGGCATTAAGGGGCTAAAACAAGGACTGGTCGGCTCGGAGTCAGTATACTGTGTCTGAGTGGGGTATTCATGTTAAACTGCGGCATGGTATCTCAGTGAGCTAGCACTATAAATCAACATCAGTCCGGACTAGTACAAGCAGCTACACACACACAAGTACATGCACGTCGCTATATAAGTGCAATAATCTTGGACGCGACGTTAAAACCCATTTCACCTCACCTCCTATTTCTATAGTCCGTTTTAGATTGCCATCATTGGACTTAAAATACATCCAAACTCACTCACTCTGTTCAAATTTTTCTCCTGTAAAATTGTCAATAGGTCTTCTCATGACCGAAAAACTTCAAACCACAGGTAGGTCGCTCGGTAGTTATTGGATATTTCAATAGCAACAGTCTGTGAAAAATTATATCCTTTTTTAACGGGCAAAAAGCATTTCCGACATTCTTGAGTATCACCGATTTTCTGTAAGCGGTATTCTCCAAAGGGGGGCACGGGTGGCCCAGTCGTCTAAGGCGCCGCGATTCGCTGTGCAGAGTTGCGTCCCTTGGGCACGCCAGAAACCTATGATTGTGGGTTCGAATCCCGGTTCGCCCCGATTATGTTTCTAGGTTTGTCAGCACCATACCCGTGCTCGTGGGTTTCACCGAAGTGGTAAACGTCTGAGACCTGCATCACTTCGGGCTTTCCTCCCACATTAAGCTGACACGCCGCGATGTAACTGGAATAATGTTAAAAGCGGCGTTAAACCTAATTCACTCACTCACTCACTCACTATTCTCCAAAGCCACTTCGGCTATTCAACAAACAACAGAACACGTCGTGACATGACAAAGTTTATACTGTACAGTTCAGCCCGTACGTAATGTTTACATGTGGCCACCGCAACCACGTGACCACTTTGTGCAATGTTAAACTCATTCATGTTGGAGTATACACCTATCTAGATGCTAGCAAATACTTGTACATGTTCTCAAATAAACCTCATAGCACCAATAAAATACAAAGCATATAAAATGAAAGGCCTCAGTGATTTATTGTGGCTGACTGTAAGCTAACAGAGGGGGCGGTATTCTTCCACAATGACACTCGAGGCAAGCTTCTACAAAGGAGGCAGACTGGAAAGAGCATTTCAATGGCACTGCAATCTGGAATTCAAGGTCAAACCATCTTTGTCTCTTCGTAATTAGATGATAGTTTATTCAAATGTATGATTTTCCTTTTTCTTTAATTTTAATCAATCCTGATTTATTTTTTGACAGTTTTTATTAAAATTCTCTGATATAAATATGCAATAGGTCCTGAATAGCTATAGTGAACAGTAAGTCATACTTCACATTAAAACAAATATACATGGTTACAAATTCCACGAGGTTAATTATGACAACATTGATCACAACCAAAACCTTAACTTCTATTTACAAATGACATTTCCATAAATTACATTGGTTCCTTTAACACTAACTTGGTCCATTGAAGATGCCACGACGGAAACAATACCACAGCGCCGAGAGGGTGAAGCCGCATTTCTAGCTATGATGGTAAACAATCTTCAGAATTAACATGGATTTTTTAGTACTGGCTGATCGCAAAATAACATGAGATGCCAACACCATTTTGTTTGTCTGTTTGTTGTTTAACACCGCACTCAGCAATATCTCA